AAAACCGGTGCCGGTAGCAACAGAAACTGCGGGGAACCATGCAAAAAACGCATCTTCGCACGGGCAACCCACTGCGTTGGCCAATTATTTTACCCTTGTTTTGCTCTATAGAGACGAAGGTACTCGGAATTAGTCTCTGTGCTAATACCTTGCATACAGCCTTACAGGACTGGTTTTGAGACTGTTTATTATCATGATTTACTGAGAATTTTCTTTTATTGTAGAATATTATCGAGAACAGAGCAACAGTCGGAACTCACTTTCGCTTCTGGAAAATGTCGACGGGTATAGCGCGTACCCGGAATCATCAGAGCATAGTGTTTTATTGAAATTCCGTCCAGCTAATGGTCATTTAGCGGTTAGCAGTCACATTTGCACAAAATCACCAAGAAATGCGCAGTTTTATATAAATGTGATGATAATCTTGCTGCTAGTCAAGTTTTTTGCTGGTTAATTGATGAACATTTTAATTTCAGTTTACGTTTTCCTGCGTTTTTATTGTCATTTAATAGGACAGATATCCGGAGTTTTCACTGTCTTTTTTTTCCGTGCTATCGCCGATCCTCTATCAGTGCACTGATTTCAGAAAGGCACTTTTGTTGTCTGTAAAGCGGATATCCTGAAGGAAGATTGTCCACTGTGGAGAATTGATAACCAGAATCTGCTGCAGAAATATCCACCGTTGTCTCTGAATGGCAGAGTTGCTTATCGAAATAGCTCTACGGTATGTAATGCATCCGTAAATTTAATAATTGCTGTTGCGTTTTGATAGATTCTTTTGAAAGGTTGCTCATTTGGATTCGGGAAAATCTCACGGGGTTTTATGTTTTTCAGCTTAGATCTGGAGTATTTGGAACACATTTGCTATTTGTTTGCTTTCAGCTTTCCAGAATTTTTATCAGTTACATTGATGTCTTAAAATTGAATGTACTGCGTTGGGAATTATACAAAAGGATGATGGTCTTAGCACCCTGACGTTTTTAGCACTGTGCACCCCTAAGAGATCGTTACCGCGGGGATAGTGAGAGACTACCTAAGGCTGTCAGTTGTTCATTCTGTTGTGTTTAGTTACTGTGAATGAAGGGTTACGTCATCTCGTACTTAGGATGCTAATAATTATAGCAAACTGCATTTATTTTTGCGTCTTACGTCTGTGAGAAGTAACTTCTTGATGTGTCAGATTCTTTGTTATGATTATATGTCTTCAGGTTTGCTTGAATGGTCATTGACCCTCTCATGATGGCCTTCTCCTATAGTAGGAAATATTCCCGAAGTTTGTAGACCAGAGTAAGCAGTCTGCCGCTGTACAGAAACCGAGTGCCGCAGTTAAGAGTGAGGAAAGAGAGTAAGAACGAGGTCCTTCCCCATTTTTTGCTTTGATAAAAATGCATGACGAATGGAATGCATTAAACGGCCGAGGTGGGGATTAACAGTAGAAAATTTAGCTGCAGGAGGGAATTTCAATTGAATATTATGATGTATGTGTGTGGCTCGTACCCTGGACTTTATACCAGTGCAGACGAAAGCTTACTGGTGAGCTGAATATGGATATAGGGCCAAATGTACATGGTGGCCTATAATGTGATTTTTTCTTTTCAAAAAACAAAAATAACAGTAGGATCAGCAGTTTTGCTGGTTCATTTCGATGTTGTTGAGATGCACAAGCGCACATGTCAAGCCTTCCTGCCTTCATAGTGGTTTTACCTACCTTCCCGCCTCTTCAGGGCCTCATATGGTCGTTTTCTCTCTTGCGAGCACACTTGTTGTTTCCTGACGTCCTGTGATTGTTAGCAAAGAGAGCGGCTTGTCTCGCTGTAAAACGGTCGTGGCCGCAGCAGTGCTGCTGTTCGTCATGCACGTTTATCAAGAGTTATGGTTTTACGGGCAGTTTGACCAATGCATTTAATTACTTCTGGTAAAAGTGTTTCTCGCTGTGCTGTCTGAGGGAATCGTAATAAGCGGAGTTTTGGGCATATGACAAATTTTGCAGTATTCGGGTTGGTGTGATCAGATTGCTGATAGCTATCTCGTGATACGGGTACGCTTCATCAAACATACTCGTTCTGAATCGATTGTTGAACCGGAAATATCACTTCTGGATATGTTCCCGGCTATTAGCACTGAGTGTGAAGAAGAGCAGTCCGGTAATTCTTTTCGCAAAAGTGTATACTTGCGAGTTTTTATATGAGTGTATGTGTGTGTGTGTCTAAATTATTCAATTACAGAACTACGAAAGTTGCAAAGTTCAATTCCGAAAATTCATAATCTGCGACTGTAATTTTCAAGTGGCTTATAATATTAAAATAGCTACAATCTTTTCGAGTATTTAGTAGTATTTTGGGGGAACATTCTTGGTTCTCGGATTGAAAATCCTCGAACAAAATACACTGGGATACACACAAGCATGCACGCACACTTACACGCATGTACAAACACACACACACACACACACAAACACACACGCAAGGCGCGATAATATGTGTTTCCTGCAGATCAAATGCGTGTTTTAAAGGTATTGTGTATGTGTTTGTGCGTGCGCATGTATTTGTGCGTGTTACAGCATTTCGTAAGCATTGCTGTGCAGCTTCTGTTTGTTTCAGGAAGTTCGGAAATAGTCGTGAGACAGAAAGTCGATTTATTTGCTGACGATACTGTACGGAAGCAAATGGCTGTGTATGTGAAAGCGATGCTCAATCATGCGCTTGATATGTCATTTTTCCAGACGGCGAAACAGAACAATGGTAACATATTGTTCAGGCATTTGCTGCGCAGCAACGCATTTGCTTTGGTACTTTGATCTGCTGACGTTTTATTGTAGCACCCGTTCGCCATCCGCGTCGCTAGAAACTTTTTCGCTGTTATTTTAACCGGAACTGCATCTCAAGGTCAGCTTGCTGCTGCTCGGGTCAGGGCTTCCGCTTCTCTGCCATTTTTTTTTTTTTCATCCAAAGAGGATTGATAGATGTGTCGTATTTCCTCCACCATCTGTGTTTGTTCTCATCGATCCTCTTAAACTTCTATGTACTAGTCTTCAGTTATGTGAAAGACGTACCTGGAGTTACTCGTGCAGGGATTTCTGTGGGCGTCCCTAATATAAAGAGGGCATGTTCAGAAAGCCTTTTTTGATTTTCACTATACGCTAATGGAGGAACGGAGCAAAGCCGCAAGCCAAAACATTTTCGAGCTAGTGAAAATTCAC